CGTCAGAGACAAGTGAAGTCAATCCCTCGACAAACGTTCTGCAGAAAACGACTACACTATCACTCCTCTTTCTGTCCTGGCCCATCTATCTACTCTTTACCTTCTTATCAAACTCCCGCCTTATCACAACTTCTTAATTGTTTAGATTCAACTCGTCAAAATGTGTGACCTTTTGTTGCAAATCTAGTGTAGCCTCATCACGCTTGCTATTCACCCCGACCCCCTCTCTTTCGATCGGTTGATCCGACTCGAGCCTCCCACCCGGATCCCCTCATTCTCCCTTAGATCCGTTCCCTATCTTTCTTGTTGACCGATTTAACTCGGTTCCAGTCCCAGTGTGCATTTCATTCCAGGCGCTATTGCTCAAGGCCCTAGAAGAACTGCCGCCTCATTGAGCAGAGCACCTAAGCTCTGATTCCCATACTTGCAGATATCCTTCTCTTGCTTACCTTCCCTTCACGGGTCGTCTCCTTGATTAAACCCATGTTATCTGAGCAAATAGCGTCTGGAGTGAAATGGACAGTGGGACTGTAACCGAGTGAAATCGGTGAAGCAGAAAGATAAGGAACGGATTTACGAGACAATGAGGGGATACGGATTGAAGGCCCGAGTCGGATCAACAGATCGAAAGAGAGGGGGTCGGGGTGAATAGCAAGTGTGATGAGGCCACAATAGATTTGTCAGAAAAGGGCACACATTTTGACAAGTGGAATGTAAACAAGTGAGAAGTTGTGATAAAGCGGTAGTGGGATAAGAGGGTAGAGTAAATAGATAGGCCAGGACAGAAAGATGAGTGATAATGTAACCATTTTCGGCAGAACATTTGTCGATTGATTGATTTCACTTGTCTCTGACGAGTTCGTAGCTTGAGACGGAGAATGGCAGCACTCAGTGATGATGTCGACTACGATATCGGCGAAACTTTTGAGAATGTACCTATTCCACTATCTGATGCTGGGAATCATGACAACTAATATGGCAAACGACTTGTGGCTAGGTGCGTTCTACTAAGTCACCCTGACAACAAGAGCAAATTGCGACGAGGTCAACCCACTGCTGTAAATCGAAAGGGGACTGCGACTATACGAGAGGCCACAACATCCTTATATATTAAATTGGTTAACCAAATAATTACGAGGGGGAAAATCAACCCGATAAAATTATCTAGGATAGTGAAGTTTAAATCAGCCAATATTTGGTTAGCATCGCATATTTAAGAGATTCATTGAGAACATCAATCTGCAGAATTGAGTAAAGCTGCATGCTGAGGACAGTTGGATGAATTTATTCATGTAAAGTTAAATGTGCGGGAAGGATATCTTTATGCATCCAGAGGGTTGACTCACTCATAATGCTTAAATTATATTGTATTTGCATGCTGGAAAAGGTAAACCTGGAATTTGGTATAATATTTTATATGACTAAAACCACGAACTAAAATCCATAACACAATCCTCTAGTCAATGGTAATTATGCTTGTTGAGGTAAATTATGATCAGTTATATTAAAAAACAGATAAAATACTAGTAAGATGATTTGAGCATGAACTTGAACTGGTCAGCCCTGGATAAAAATTCAGAAAGAATAAAAAGTGATGGTTACTGATAGTCCACAAGTTTGTTAGTCAGAGATTCATGCACAAAAATAGTATTCCCAGTCACTGGACTTTTCAATTTGAGGGGTTGGTCGGCTGGAAGGGATCTATAATTTTGCCTCAATGTTAACGAAAGAGATGTCTTGGATTTGTAACTGAAAAAGTGTAGGAAGGAATTCTCGGCGCACTGTCCTTCGACCTGGATGAATCCGTGCCGAGCCTAGGTCCGTCAAGCATCAGACCTCATCAGAGTGAAGCCATTATTTGGGTGAGCTTCAAGCCCAGAGACAAGAAAGGTAGCTGGATACGATCCCAATTACCTCTTGTAGCCAAACAATTATCACTTACTTAAGTGTTCTATGCCTTAGTTGGTAGTCTCACGCATTTTATACAAATAAGTTCCAGTTCTTATGATACCTATCATATGACGGAATAAAGCTCAGCTCGTTTTTACTTGAAAAGATAGAGGATGTCTCGTGGACTGCATAAACCTGAACGCCGTGTTAAAGCCAAACTGCTGCAGTACAACGGGAATCAGCCGTCGTCTTTGGGCATATTAAAATTAGAATATCTTCTTAATACACTTTCATACCAATTGAAAGTATCTCCGAAAATGTTTTCTTAGGAGATTAATAGAAACCAAATCACCCTTTATATCTATATTATAGGGAAGCGAGAGCCCTATCTAAAGTATAGGCTAATAGGCCTCGAAAGTTCTTTCTCCCTCAACCTAATCTCATCTAACAGCCAAAAGCAGTTTTTCCTCAATTTACCGCACCCGGTCCTCCTATTAGGTATTCTGGATACTTTGTTTATTTTTTTTTACTCTTACGCTTGTGTGGAATCTGGATGTTCAGCAAAACAATGTGATTTAGATGGTTGTATTTGGCGTCTCTTTCAACCTGATTTTTTGGACCCAAAAACCTATTCAGTCGGAGTTGTGTTAAGATTACTTCTGGATAGGTTGGCAGGTCTCTCCCACATAAACACTACTATATGAATAAAAAGCACTGAAGCACATTGGCATAGAAAAGATGTCTAAGCATAATGTAACATTCACAGACCTCCCTCGATTTTAGGTGAAAACACTTTGCGAAACCTCTCATACGAGCTAGTCAAAATTAAAAATCCAATTACATGAAATTATTAAGGAATTCCTTGAAACAGCTTTCTTGATATATTTCTCTAAGTACTCCTTAAACATTTGGATCGTAATAAGTGATATTCTCTTTATTCGTGATAAGCATGACTTACCCTATTCAGTGTTCGGGCTAGAAAAAGTGTACCATTTCGGTTGGCCAGAGACGGATAGCGCCTCTGCAAAAAGCTGGCTTCGTCTCGCAGTGCATCTGCAATGCTCTTGCCAGCGTGGATGTCAGCCTGAGACCGATTAACCACACCAATTATACCTAGTTTTACGGGAATCACACGGCCCAGAAGAAGATCATGGGCGTCAGTGCCTTGGTCCATTAGATCTAATTTTGTCAGGACACACAAAGTTCTTCGGCCTATGAAAGATAAAATACTCAAAGGATATAGCTACGTAGATGTAATTCTTTAAAAGTTTTTTATAAGCATGGGCTAATGAAAATAATGCCAACCAAGGAAGTAGAAAAGTTTTGCCTATAGCCATATTTACTAAATTAATAATAATTAATTGCATAAAGTAGCGAAAAAGAATAAAAATTCTACATTTAATGCTTAGACAGTTTAACGTATTGTAAAATTGTATATAACTTACAGAGACAATTTATGCAAATAATTAAGTAAGCTTACCTTCTGGATCTACTTCCTTTGCTATCTTAATAGATTCGCTAGTTGCCATATCCGCATTAGCCGCAGTTACCGCCAATATAATGCTATTAGGATTTTTAATATATTGAAGGCAAAGCTGGCAAATTTGAGCCTCAATATCCTCTGGCTGATCACCCACAGGAACCTTTGTGATTCCTGGAAGATCAACTAGTGTCAGATTGAAGACGTCAGGACTGTATATCTTGAGAGATATGGGTTCGGAACTAATAGACTGCAAAGTTATAAATAACATAATTAAAGACCAGTGAATATAAGACCAAGTCGAAAAAAAAGGAAAAACAACTAAGAGTGTTTTGTCTACTCTATGATGAGCATCATGCTGAGATAGTACTCTGTTAGAGGAAATCATAAGCATAAATAAACTAAGGGAGACTAATCAAATCTTCTGGGGGGGAATTAAAGCGTAAATCTAAAAAAAAGAAGTGGCAACGATGATAAATAAGGATTTGGATAAAGTATTTTAATTCTAAAATATGCGATTATATCACAGTGAAAAATGAAAAAAGGAATAGATTAGATTGATCAGAATAAGGGGAAAAAATTTGAGGAAGACATAACAATAAGGAGTATGAGGTATCAGTATACATTCAGAAAG